AGGCACCAAGTGTGGCCACCCTGGTCCTGGCTATACATCATTTCTCAGATGATGTTTCTAATGCAGATGAGCAGCAGCTTTAAGCCCTTATTTTAAGATCTCAGGCAAAAAGACATGTTAGCATCGCTCCTGTTGATGGATTGGATTCCAGTGGGTCAAGTGCTCCTGGTACCAACTAATGGTGGCAGTGGAGGGATAGAGTCACATGGAACAAGCTAGTTGCAGGCTACCACGGCTCAGGTGCACCCAGTCTTCAGAGAAGAGGAGTGAAGATGGAGCACGTTCCCCAAAACATGTGCACTTCCTCCCATCTCTGTCAGAGACTAGGAGGCCGGAGGGAGTAACCAAATTCTTGGGTTCAGCCTGTGGTAAAGTCCTCTGTACTTTATGTCCTTGGGTTCCATGAGCTATGATGCATATTTATACTATAGATCCCTTTTGTGAGTAAGGTAATTTAAGTGGATTTCTATTATGTGCACACAACCTGAGTGAGTAGTTTATCTGGATAGTTAGTCCAACATCTAACAAGGTCCTACAGGAGTTGACTCAAGTCTGCAACACATGCTCCCAGGTCTCCAGGGACTAGAAAGTTTCTTATTGTTTTAAAGTTTTGTGGGGTTTTTTTGTTTGTTTGTTTTGTTTTTTGGGTTTTTTTGCATTCCTTATTGGTGGCTGTGGCGAAATGAGTCCTAAAGAAGTTGGACCTAATAAAACAGAGTTTCACCTCCACCCTTTACAGCTGAGAAAAGTGAGCCCGGGAAGGAGAAGAGAGTCCCTAGGGTCACAAGATGAATGAGTCACTGGTCATTGGAAACCCTGTGTATGCTGCTTCCTTGTTCAAGTTAAGTATAGGGCTCCTCCCCTCAATCTCTGTGCCCCCTCCCATCTTCCCATCACTTACTTCTCCACTCCAGAAATAATAATAATAAAAATAGCAACAGCAACAGCAACAGAAGTGATAACAAGGACTAACAACATGTGTTCAGTGCCCACAGTGTATGGGAACATAAGTTCTTCACACACATTATTACACACACACACACACACACACACACACACACATCTTATAGATGAGGAAGCAGATTATTAAAGTTTCAAGTAACAGTGTCAAGTAACACAAATAGTAAGGGGGAGGTTCTTTTTATATTTTGTTAATCCTCACAGAGGATATTTTTTCTCTTTAATTTTTAGAAAGAATGGAAGAAGGGGAGAGGTAGGAGAAAGAGGATTCATCATTCATTCTCACAAATCCTAAGCCGAGGCCAGGGATCGAACCTGCAACCTAGGTACAAGCCTTTACTAGGAATCAAACCCGTGACCCTTCCTTGGGCAGGATGATGCTCTAACCACTAAGAAACACTGATCTCCCTGCTTAAAAGTCCTCAGAGTATTCTGTATTTTTTCTCAGGACCCTGAGATGGTTGGTGATTATCTGTTCTGTTTGTGGAATGCAGGTGTCTTCCCAGCAGAATGAAGCACATTGCGAGAACTGTACTCACTAATGTTTGACTTAAGCCAGAAAGCACATGAGTGATTAGAGGTGTCAAATTAGATATTCTACTAAAACAAAGATTTCTCAAAAACCAGTAACTAGACATTTGATTTGGAGGCTTCACATTTCATACCTTTACCAAATGACAAAAGTAAAAGTTTGAAACACTATAATTCCCTACTGTGGCTGAGCAGAACGTATCCGGTCTTTTATTGTCCTGGTATGTATTTTCATGCTTTTGCTCAAATGCTCAGAGTTTTTACCAGGACAGTCTCTCTGCCCCTGACTTGTAGCCAGACAGAAAGGATTTGTAACCATCAAAGGGAGGTTACTGGTCACTGTTAATATTTTTGTGATTTAAATTAGTTCATGAAGGAAAACACTCAGTTACTCATTCAAAAAAGGAAATAAACAAAAACCAACAATCAAAGCTCTTCTAGTCCTCACTTTCTAGCTCAAAGTAGCTCCTTTCATTTAACCTTTCATTTTTATGTCCTGTTTTCTAATTCTTTAAATACATATTGCTTTTCTCTTACTTCTCATCAAACACTTAATAACTCAAAATGTGTAGCACTGAACACCAAATTAAAAGCCAATATTAGCCCTAACCGGTTTGGCTTGGTGGATAGAGCATTGGCCTGTGGACTGAAGGGTCCCAGGTTCAATTCCGGTCAAGGGCATGTACCTTGGTTGCGGGCACATCCCCAGTAGGAGGTGTGTAGGAGGCAGATGATCAATGTTTCTCTCCCACTGATGTTTCTAACTCTCTATCCCTCTCTTTTCCTCTCTGTAAAAAAAAAATATATATTTTTAAAAAGGCAATATTAGACCTAATATGTGTTGAGTGACTGAAACAGAGTAGGAATAAGGTCTCTTTCCATTAGGCATGTTCCAATGCCTCCACATGTGCCTCACTAATACTTGGCCAGAGTTTACTCTGCTGACAGCTAGAATTCATTCTCCTATGGTGATGTTTAACGTCATCGCCGGCTACGGTGCTACTTCGGAAAGGGTTTTGTGCTAAGGAAATAATGTATATGCAGTAGAATTGCATTTTATGAAAAGCCAGGAGCTCAGCCTGTCACCAACCCACTTTATGATCTGGATCAAGCTCCCTGTATCTTAGTTTCCTCCTCTCTAGATGAAGACTGAAGTTTGAGACTGGATGGTTTCAACAGTTCAACAGAGTTAACAAGGTGACACAAGTATCATTTCTCATCATGTCTAAAAAGCTTATTCTACTGTCAGGCTTTTGAAAATATACAACAAATACAGTTAGATATTCCTTCGGGGTTGCTCCATGATTCAGTTTGATGAATTCTACACAAAAGAGAAAAACATTTTCTAGAAAGATGCTATAGAAATATGACACTTGGAGGAGCTGTGGGGTTATCCTATATAATAAAGAGCTAATATGCAAATGGTCATCATGCCCTCACGCCATCATGCCATAACAGCTCAGACACTCAACTCTGGGGAGAGAAAAATGGGGACCAGCCAGGCACAAATGAGCTCGCAAGAGAGGAATGGGGACCAGCCAGGCTGCGGCCCAAGAGAGGGACAAGCCGCACGCCCCACAGTCCCTTGCTGCTGTGGCCAGCCCAGGCAAAGCCAGCCTGGGTCCTGGGTACCTGTGGCTGGCCAGAGGGAGAGAAGCCCAGGTCCTGGTGCCTGTGACCAGCTGGAGGAGGGAATCCTGGGTCCTGGGTACAGGCAAGGCAAAAGTGGTTAGGGGAGATCAGGCCAGCGGGGGAGCAGCTAGGGGCAATCAGGCAGGCAGAGGGGTTAAGGGTGATCAGGCAGGCAGGCAAGTGTTTAGGAGCCAGATTGTGAGAGGCAACAGGACATCCCCCGAGGGGTCCCGGATTGGAGAGGGTGCAGGCCAGGCTGAGGGACCTCTCCTCCCCTTCCTCCCCCATGCATGAATTTCATGCACTGAGCCTCTAGTACAGTGGTTCTCAACCTGTGGGTTGAGACCCCTTTGGGGGTTGAATGACCCTTTCACAGGGGTTGCCTAAGACCATCGGAAAACACATATATAATTACATATTGTTTCTGTGATTAATCACTATGCTTTAATTATGTTCAATTTGTAATAATGAAATTGGGGGTCACCACAACATGAGGAACTGTATTAAAGGGTTGTGGCATTAGGAAGGTTAAGAACCACTGCTCTAGTAGGTAATAGTCAGCTAATACTATTTCAAAATATGTTGTTATGTCATTTATAAGACTGACTTTTTAAAAAGGAAGATATTAAATGGTTATAAGGTACACAGAGATGGTAAGGGAGAGGGAGAGGTCATAAACTGTGAACTTATCATCACCAATGAGAAGGGTTTGCATTACTCAGGGATCTAGGAATTAGCAGGACAGCCTATGAGGGGCTTCAGGTGTAAGAGAAATGTGAAGCTCTTAAAAACTATGGTCTGATTAAGAATGTGCTTGCATAGAAAACATAAAGCTCCTAGTGAAGACTAAATTGGAGTCCACCTTGGGAGAACATTTAGTCACAAAGGAAAATAGCGTGTTTTACAGCATGAAGGACACATTGAAATCCTGAATTAAAAGAGCTCAAAGAAAAAGGGTTTGGAGGCAGATGAAAGCATGTGGCACTGCCATATTCCATTTCCAACTGTCCCAACCAGGGACTTTTGGGGAATACGGACATGGCATAAGTAGGGATTTCCCTCTCTTCAACTGAGATCATGAGCCCTAAAGGGAGATATACCTGAAGCTGCTGTGGCCATCTTTGCCACTGTATGGAGCGTCTCTATCTGAGTGTAAAGACCACATATTGTAAAACATTATTTCTTAAACCATGATTCATAGAAAAATGACCACATGCTTGAGGGTTAGGACAATATCAAATTATTATAAAAAGTTTGTAAATGCCTACTCTTGAGTTCGGTAGTACTTGTTGACTCACACACAAATAACGAATAGTTTGCAGACTAGCCCCAGTCCGCAGACCATACTTTGAGTAGCATTCTGGTAAGGCAGGGTGAAGAGATAAAGACAAACAGATTCCTATTCATTGTTTGAATACTTTACCTGGATCTATCTAAATACAAAAAACCCTAAAATGGCTTAAGTGAGTTGCTTACTTTAGCTCAAGTTGGGTTTCTGTCACTACAGACTTGCAGCAGTCTTTATTAAAACACACAGCTAGGATGCTGCCAATCATTCTTTCTAAAACCATGGCTGGCATCATTAATCCATCACAGCATTCTTTCCCATAATATTCAGACACAGCATCAAAGTTCTTCTAAATATAGTGTTCAATGTAGCCGTTAGCTGAAAATCAGAGTTTCCAAAGTCATTTAAACCTACCTAGTATTCCTGAAGCCCTCCTCCTGAGATCTTACACTTAGTAAGTCCTTGCTTTTTTCTTTGTTTTGGCATATGTTTAACAAAGCAAGTCCTTGCTGTCTATGCAAATTTCATGTACTTTGCTTCTCATACAGCCAGAAAGTAAATAGAATCCAGCTGTGAATTCAGTTCTTACCTGTCGCAAATCATACACAGTTAAGACAATGGAGATAACAGACAAGATGATGATGGCGACAGAGTATTCTATGTAACCTTGAGACATCCACAAAGTCAAGGTAAAGGCTTGGAACACATAAAATGGATTTAAAACCTGCAGGTACAAGAATAACATTTAAGTCACTTATAGTTAAGATGATGTCATTTCTTTATAGAGTTGTATTTCCCTTTTTTTATAGCATCCAACAACCTCTACTATTTCAGAATGCCCTTAGAACTCCATGAATTTCGGTGGAGGCAATGTCAAGAACATAGAATGTAATAAGGTGGAAACAAAATTATTTTAAGCACTCAAAGGCATGGCCACAAATTGATCATTATTATTTTGAATTTTCAAAAATACATTACCAATATCAAAATGCAACAATTTACATTTTTAAACATATTTACTCATAGTGGCGGAGAAACTGGATTTAGTTTCATTTTTAAACAAACTTCATTTTGAACATTTTTAGTGCAGGTTTTTTTCCCCCCCACATTATCACATGCTATAGATTTAGTCAAACAGTGCAATGAAAATTAAAGATTCTAATTTTACCCGGACATTTTAAAATAACCTACTCTTATGTTACAGATCTTAGAAAGATCCTCTGACAGCCAGTCAAGTCAGCATAGGCCTTCCCTTGAACAGGAGAAGCAGTGAAGAAAAAGGTGTTAGCCAAGTCTGCAGTAAAAACCAGGGGCAGATTGCATTGCCAGCCCCAAAGCTAGATATCTATGCAGGTATATTTTGGTAATACATTCAACTACATTTCCTGCTGATTTCTCTGTTAATGATAGTAGCAGAGCAACCTGAGGGGGGAGTGCTAGAGATGGTCAGGTGACACACACAAGTAGTGAGAATGAAAGAGCCCATCTGAGCAAAGCAAGGATTCTTTTCTTGGTGAAGCACTCTTTATGATGATTATAAATTAGATGAAATACCTAAAACCAGTGCCATTCTTTCTTACCTCTATTTTCTATAGTTCTCTAATATGTTAATTATACTTCTACTTTAGTCCTAAAAATGAACTGATATCTGGTTAAGAAGTGAGTAGGCTGTACCTTAAGAGTTTCTTAAACCCTTAGGTATATTTTGTACATTAAAAAAGCTTTTGTTCCTTAATGGTTTTGTTCCTTAATGGTATTATTTCTATTGCCCAATGACTTTTTTTTTGTTTACAAATTATAGCTTTTCTGGTTGCTTGGCATAAAATGTTCTAATTGTAGATTATGCATTAATGATAATATGATTTCCAGTTTATAAACTCAGTAGAAAATTTGTTAAATACTTCTTGTTAAATACCATCATAATTAATGTAGTTCTTTTATTCAATATTGTTTTGAAACCAAATGTGAGAAAAACAGTTTTACTTGCTTTTTTTCTATTAAAGGCCTGGTAAGTAGGTGCCAGAAAAATACTAGCACTTCTTTCAAAATAGATCAATTGACACCTGGGAGAGTATTTGGCAATTTGAAAATGTACTTGAATAAGAAGTTTAAGAAGCAGCCTGCTTTTCCAGAATGGCAGAGTCTGTGTATACGTGGGGACAGGGGTAAGTGGGAAATCTCTGTCCTTTCCACTCCATTTTGCTGTGAACCTAAGGTAAAGAGTCTAATAAAAATTTATTTTATAAAAGATATGACCATGATCAAAAATAAAATAAAATTACCACAGTTGTGGATTAGAAATAGACTAGAAACATGCAACTGAGTGAGGACTAACGTGATCAGCCTACTGAGTTCCAGACAAGGACAGAAGAGGGATAGACAGAAGCTCCGTTGTACTGGGTCTAAACAGAAAGTGTCCCATAAGTGGCAGGGGACAAAACCCAAGCTTGCAGAGCAAAACATGGGTAGCAATGGGGTTCCCCTGCCCAAGAGCAGAGGTTGAGAAAAGTCATAACAAGCAGTGGTTCACCAGCGAAGAGAGAAGTAGGACAGAACAGAGATCATGGTGCAATTGTGCACTTGTCCAAGCCCCAGCCTGGCTCAGCACCTGCACCGCACAGGGCGCAGACCCAAACCTCCTGTATAGGCCCTATTTCTGAACTGGGGACCTGAGGGGACCAGTAAGAGGCAGAACGCAGAGCCACTAAAGAGGGAGAGTGAGTACAGGAAGACAGGCAAAAATGAAGGAGGAGGGGAAATCCCACTTGAGGTGAGTTTACCAAAAAGATAAAATAACTTCAAAGCACACAAAGAAAATACTCTAAAAAACAAACAAACAAAAATCTGCCTACAAAGGAGGAAGTCATTCTCAGAAAATGGAGACAGCAGAGCAATATTTTTTAAAAAGACCAAAATAGTATGTCTAAAATCCTCAAAAACATCATAGCAATCTAAGCATTGCCCCCCCCCCCACCATAATCACTATAAAAATTTTAAGAAAAAAAACAGGAGATTATGAAACAGGACTCTTCCCTCAGACTGGGAAGAGATGTTTTAAAATAGATTTGAATTTAAAACAGTGATTATTGAAAGGGACCAATTAGAAATCCTGGAACAACAATATATATTTTTAAAAATATTTTTTAAAATAGGAAACCTCTGCTGAAACCGGTTTGGCTCAGTGGATAGAGCGTCAGCCTGCAGACTGAAGGGTCCCAGGTTCGATTCCGGTCAAGGGCATGTACCTGGGTTGCGGGCACATCCCCAGTAGGAGGTGTGCAGGAGGCAGCTGATCGATGTTTCTCTCTCATCGATGTTTCTAACTCTCTATCTCTCTCCTTTCCTCTCTGTAAAAAATCAATAAAATATATTTTAAAAAAAATTAAAAAATAAAATAGGAAACCTCAATAGGTAAGAAAGGCATAGACTAAAGGCAGTGGGGTAATAACAAAAAGAATTTGCATGAAAATAGATTTTGTTCACATCAAAATACCTGTGTGTTGCTTAAGATTCCCCTGAGTAGTAGAAAATAAAAAGTAAAGGATGGGATAAGAAGAGAGAGTTGAATGTTTGGCAAGACAGCCAAAATAAGTTGTTTTTAAAAAAAAGAAAAAGAAAAAAAAAAGGTTTATTGTGATGGTTCATTTTATGTGTAAACTTGGCTAAGATGTAGTGCTCAGTTTGGTCAGACCTTAGACCAGATGTTGCTGTGAAGGTATTTTGCAGATGTGATTAACCTTTACAATCAGTTGACTTTAAGTATATGAGATTGCCCTTGATAATATGGGTTGAAAACCTTAAGAGCAAAAACTGAGATTTCCCAGAGAGAAGGAATTCTGCCTTAAGATTGCATTATAGAAATCTTCTGAGTTTCCAGCCTACCAGTTGCCCTGCACATTTCAAAGGCAAGACAGTGACATCAATTCTTCTCTCAACTTCCAGACTGCCTCCTGCCCTACAGATTTCAGGTTTGCAAGCCTCCACAATTGTGAACCAACTCCTTCAAAAACATTCACATCTAGATGTAAAAAAAAAAGTAAAGGATGAGAGTTCTTTTGTTTGTTTTTCCAAAAAGAAAGATAGTTACCTGTTTAATAAGCAGCTTCCATATGGGTTGAATCTCCACCTCAATGGCATTGGGCCCACACACGAGTCTCCTGTAGGAGATTGGTCATCGATTAGCGTCATATTTCCAAACTCATGAATAAGTGAATACAGGCCAAACTGAGCAGAAGTCACTTCTCTATTTTTTTTTTTTTGGATCTTGTGCTTTCAATTACAAATGAATGTGTAAATCCTAAAATTCTAGTGTATTTTTAAAATGAAAGTCAATGCATGATGAGCAAAGCTGTTTTCCTGGGTTAAAAAATATCTTAAGTACAGTAAAGCTCAAGAGCCAAATGAAATTAGAAAGTTATTTTGAGTTGATTTTTAAAATAAATTGATTATAAAAGCAGCTAAACACACACACACACACACACACACACACACACACACACACACAAATAAACAAAACAAACCCACACACACAAAAACACCACAGACATGAAGATGTTCCTGGAATGTGCAGGCATTCTAGATTACTCTTGATGTTAGGGATCATGTCTGTCTTACCTTGTTCTCTCCAGCACCCAGCACAGACCCTTAGTTTATGAACTCAAAATATACATGAATGAATGAGCCACAAATGAAGATCATATATGGCCTTCATGACTAACATCTTGCAAATCCAAACATATGTACATTACAAGAAGCCCTCGTGTTTGTACAGCATTTTATAATTTATAAAGCTCTTTCAAAAGATTCTCCCATTTGATCCTCACAATAGTCCAGAGGAAAGGGCTAATATCCCCATTTTTCCAAAGGGAGAAACCATGGAGAGTGCATGTTTTGTTTGTCAAAGGTGCATAAATATAACATAAATAATGGCAGTGTGACTTTTGAACAGAGATGACAGTTCAGAAACCGCAGTTAGCCTTTTTAAAATATATTTTATTGATTTATTACAGAGAGGAAGGGAGAAGGATAGAGAGTTAGAAACATCGATCAGCTGCCTCTTGTACACCTCCTACTGGGGTTGTGCCCGCAACCAAGCTACATGCCCTTGACCGGAATCGAACCTGGGACCTTCAGTCCAGAGGCCGATGCTCTATCCACTGAGCCAAACCGGTTAAGGCCGCAGTTAGCCTTTTATACATTACCTCCTTTAATCACCACATTATCCCATGAGATTTTAGATTATCATCTTTATTTAAAGATAAATGAAGTTCAGAAAAACTAAATAGTTTTTCCAGAATATCAGAGTTAGAAAGAAGCAGAGCCATGCTTCGCTTCACAGCGTGGACTCTATGACTCCACTTCTCACTCTGTCTCAGAAAGGACCAGGGGTCAAAATCTGCAGAGTGGATCTTTGGTCTAAAGCAGCGGTTTAGACCTGTGGATTGCGACCCCTTTGGTGGTCGAAAGACCCTTTCACAGGGGTCGCCTAAGACCATCCTGCATAGCAGATATTTACATTACGATTCATAACAGTAGCAACATTACAGTTATGAAGTAGCAACGAAAATAATTTTATGGCTGGGTCACAACATAAGGAACTGTATTTAAAGGGCCAGAAGGTTGAGAACCACTGAAGTCTAAGAGGAAGTAAGCCCAGGTTTGTCTGACTTGTAAGCCTTGTTGCTCCAAGTAATATTATTACTTGCAATGGTCAGAGAGGACTCAATCCAAGGCCTTCTGGCTCCGTGCCATGAAAACACTGAGGTTCACAGATGTTGGGAAGCAAAGAGGTAGAACTGCATGTGCTGCTGTTTGACTTCACAAGTCCCTAAACCTCACACTGGAAAGAGACTGAAGTAATTTTGGTGCTAAGGATTTTTTTTTTCCAGGATTCATGGAAATAACCTGTTTTAGCCCAAGGATCAGAGCTCCTCGGGATGCTGAACTTGGTCTTCTCTCTGCTTAAAATGCCTTCTCCACATTCTTCACTTTGTAAAAGCCTTCCCAGCCTTTGAGAGCCAAATCTGGCAATAGAGCCTAGTGGTTGAAAATTTTGAGATATAACAGACCTGGGTTTGAATCCAGCTAAGCCTTTGTACTTGCTTCCTGAACATGAAATGAGTTTTACCCACATCTTTGCATGGCTCACTTTCTCATTTCATTCAGGTTTCTGTTCAGATAACACCTCCTTATTGGAGCCTTCCCTAATAATTCTTGTTAAAACAGCTACCCCAACCCCCAGTCAGATTCTCTATATCTCCTCAACCTATCTCATTTTTCTTTAAGGTGCATTTGATAATCTAAAATTACATATTACTTTTTTTACATATTAATAAGTATGCAAACTATAGACTGTATATCCACTGCAATATAGCTTCTAGAGGACACTGACTGATCCTGAATGCATACAATAGGGTGGAATACATATTCTGCATTCAAGAATGTTTTGTTGAATGAATGACTAGGTGAATGAGAGGTGAGCCTTGATTCCCTATGGGTGAAATGGGTTTGATAATACAATGTGTTTGATAATGTGTTTAGGGATTGTGTGCTCATCTCAGTCTCAGCACAAGCCAAACAGAACTTTCAGGGACAATGACCAATGGCTAAGCAAAGGAACATGAGGCTTGAAGCTGGGTCCCCCGAGGAAAATTCCAAGGAACAAAGCAGATTATATGCCCTGACTTTAAAATCTGATGAGCTGGCAGGAAAAAGAGGCCAAAGAATTATTCCAGGTGGCCTTGCAATGCTAAATAGGCTGAATGCAACTAAGTAGACTTGCCTAATATTCAGAACTAGTAATTATAGGAATAGTTGGTTTGGAGATAGAAGATCCCTCTCCAAAAGAGATTGAAGAATTTTTAACAGGGAAGTTATGGAGAGATTTTCTGCACCAGCTATAAGCTAGACTTCCTACAATCGTAAGATATTAGTAAATCTACTAGAATGTATTTATTTATGAAAATCAAAATGTAAATAAATAGAAATCATTTCTTTTGGATATGGTCTGTGTTTTTTTTAATTTGATCATGCGTACATCCGTTCATTCATTTATCAATTTATTAACCAAACTAGAGGCCTGGTGCAAGAAATTCATGCACTCAGGGGCAAGAGGGTCCCTCAGCCTGGGCTGCACCCTCTCGCAATCCGGGAGCCCTCAGGGGATGTCCGTCAGTCGAACATCCTTAGCACTGCTGCGGAGGTGGGAGAGGCTCCTGCCATCACCACTATGCTTGCCAGCCGTGAGCCTGGCTTCTGGCTGAGTGGAGCTCCCCCTGTGGAAGCACACTGACCACCAAGGGCAGTTCCTGCATTGAGCATCTGCCACCTGGTGGTCAGTGTGTGTCATAACAATAGGTTGTTCAGTTGATTTGCATATTAGCCTTTTATTATATGATAACTACAGGCCCGGTGCACAAAAATTTGTGCACTCGCAGGGGAGGGAGGGTCCCTCAGCCCAGCCTGTGCCCTCTCGCAGTCTGGGACCCCTCGGGAAATAACGACCTGCTGGCTTAGGCCTGCTCCCGGGTGGCAGAGGGCAGGCCTAATCCCTAGGTGCAGCTCCTGGTCGGGCTCAGAGCTGGGCCGATTGGGGAGTTGGGGCGCCGCCCCCTGTCATGCACAGAGCAGGGCGGATTGGGAGGTTGCGATGCCACCCTCAGTCAGCTCAGGGTAGGGCCAATTGCGGGGTTGGGGCACCGGCCCCTGTCACACTCAAGGCAGGGTCGATGGGGAGGTTGCGGCGCCACCCTCTGTCACGCACAGAGCAGGGGCAATCAGGGGGTTGGGGTGCTGCTCCCTGTCACGCACAGAGCAGGGCCGATCAGGGGGTTGGGGAGCTCCCCCCTGTCACGCACAGAGCAGGGTCAATCAGGGGGTTGGGGAGCTCCCCCCTGTCACGCACAGAGCAGGGCCCATCAGGGGGTTTGGGAGCTCCCCCCTGTCACGCACAGAGCAGGGCCGATCAGGGGGTTGGGGCGCCACCACTGTCACACTCAGGGCAGGGCCGATGGGGAGGTTATGGCTCTACCCCATCACACACAGAGCAGGGCCCGTGGTGGGGGTGGGGGGGTTGGGGCACTGCCCTCTATCACCCAGAGAGCAGGGCCAATCAGGGTGTTGGGGCGCTGCCACTCTCACACTCAGGGCAGGGCCGATGGGGAGATTATGGCTCTACCCCGTCACACACAGAGCAGGGCCCGTGGGGTGGGGGGGTTGGGGCGCCACACCCTGTCACACACAGAGCCGCAGGGCGATCATGGGTTTGGGGAGCTCCCCCCTATCAGGCACAGAGCAGGGCCGATCAGGGGGTTGGGGCGCCTTCCCCTGTCAGGAACAGAGCAGGGCCAATAGGGAGGTTGTGGCCCCGCCCCCTGTCACACACAGAGCCACAGGGAGATCAGGGGGTTTGGGCGCTGCCCCCTGTCATGCTGATCCCGGTGCTGGGAGGCATATTACCCTTTTACTATATAGAATAGAGGCCTGGTGCATGGGTGGGGGCTGGCTGGTTTGCCCTGAAGGGTGTCCTGGATCAGGGTGGAGGTCCCCACTGGGGTGCCCGGCCAGCCTGGATGAGGGGATGATAGCTGTTTGCAGCTGGTCACACACCCTTCAGGGTGGGGGTCCCCATTGGGGTGCCTGGCCAGTCTGGGTGAGGGGCTGAGGGCTGTTTTCAGGCTGGGACTGAAGCTCCCAACTGCTCCTTTTTTTCTTTTCTTTTTTTTTTTTTTTTTTTTTTATTCTGGGCCAGCTTTAGCTCTGATGCTCCAGCTCTTAGGCCTCCGCTCCTGAAAGCAGGTATCTGGTTTGTTTGGGTTCTACAATCGAAACTCTGTATCAACTCCAGGTCTGAGATCCCGGCTCCCTGAAAGCTGGTTTCTGGGGTTTTGTTTAGCTTCTATTTTTGTAACTATGTTTCAAACTGCCAGCTCAGAGGCCTGCAGCGGCGGGGAACGTTGGAGTCCTCCGTCACTGAAGCAAGCAAGCCTCATGTTAGTTTCAAGCTGCCTGGCTGCCGGCCGCCATCTTGGCTGACAGCTAATTTCCATATCGCCCTGATTAGCCAGTGGGAAGGGTAGCAGTTGTACGCCAATTACCATGTTTCTCTTTTATTAGATAGGATTGCTGAGAATATGTTGTGTGTTAGATGCTTTAGGCTCCATTTGGTGAAGACTAGAGTGGTCTTGACCAGAGAAGGACTGTGTTAGAATTATTGGTGACCTTTTTTCAAGCTACATCTGACTGCTCTGCTTCCATTTTGATAAGCCACCAATAGAATGGGAGACTTGTAGTTTTCCAAGCAGTTAATGCCATGTCATCACACACTCTGTGAACTCTGGAGTTTTTAGGAAGCAGATTTATAGAGTTTTTAAAAATTCCCACGCATGAGAGTCTGGAAAGCAGAAGACCAGGAGGGCAAGGGGTAGAGGTGGGGGCTGAGAAAACCCAGGCAGGATCTCCCCAGGGTGACCCAAGCCTTAGGCTTACTGGTGTCACCATAGTCCTTTGCTCTGAACAAGGCATTGAGGTTAAATGATTTTATATCTTAAATGGACTCAAATCCATAGAACCTAGGATGTTACAAATACAATTTATCTAAAAAAGAATGTGGATCTCAGTGACTCATTCAATTTGTACTAAATACACTATGAAAACTATAATATTTTAAGTACTTTATTAACTTCTAACTAAATGTTAAACATTGCCTCTCTCCTCTACTCCAACCAACACTTCCTTCCTAAGCATGAGTGTCTATAATTGGAATGTTTTCTAGGAACAGAGCTTGTGAAGGGGATAAAAGTCATGGTATAAAAGCGTGATTTCTGTTCTGACTTTTACTACCCACAAGACCTGAGGAGTAAAAGAGTAGGGTCTCAAAGCAACCCTAATCCCTTTCTCTCTCCTGCCTCCCTCTTGATTCTTCTTTCTCTCTGTTTCAATAATCTCTCTTCTCCTGGAAAGCTTCCACCAGCTTGGGGCTGAGCATTAATAGAATTGCTTTCCTCTGGTACTAACAGGCATGCCCTTTTGCTCAATGGTGTGACAAATGTTGAAAATTAGGTTTGGCCCTGCAGAACCACTGAGCCTAAGGTAAGCATCTCTTTTCCACTCCACATTCAGAGATGTCACACCATTGGATGGAAATCAGCCATGGTGAGAGTAGTTCCATTACAGAAATTGGCAAACTCTACCCATCAAAGCTTTTTTTCCTTCAGAGAGATGGTTTACCAAGAACATAAATTGTTTGGAGCTAATGCCATTAGGAGGTGACTGCTATCTCCACTGCCAGAAAGTTCCCCTTGTCTTTTTAGGAGATTAAACAAAGGAGACAAGAGGAAGCATAGGCTGAGTAAAGAGAAAATGAAGAGATGCTCAATTTAAAAACTGTCTGAATAGGAAGACTATGGGATGGATGGGGAGTGAGTAGACTTGTTCTTCCCATAGAGCCCTGTTTCCATGAGATAAGAGAATTAACTCAAGTGTCCATGAACCTGTTGAGGACAAATTCCAAGAAGAAAACTTGCGTTGAGTTCATGAATGAGTGAAGCTAGGAGCATGAAACCTCCTGGAATAATCTTGCTTTCATTCTGATGCCCTTTGACAAATTCTCTCCATGGTAAAGGTATCTCTTTTCATGCCCTGATTTTTTTTTTTTGCTACTTAAAAGTGAGAACTATGTAAATCTGTGTATTTTCTCTCCTTTCTTGGCTACTTGGAAGGCTAAATAAGAGACTAAATTTAGACTGTGGATTTTCATCATCCATGATTTTTGGGTATTTCCCTTCCTTTATTTCTCATATCATGCCCTTACTTTTCATGCAAGCAGGCCCAAGGAAATTGATATAACTCAACCAGTCAGATTTGTTTTTTAAAAGGTTAGTTTTACACTAAAAAAATGAGGGGAAAAATAGGGATAAAATGTTCCATATTCTATTTATTGTCTTTACCCTCTAAAGAGATAAGCCCATAAAATAAAATGTGCCTATATGTTTATAAGTAGATTATCTCCTCAATTCTTTGTATTTGGAAAACTGTACTCTGTCTTGTTTATTAGATTGTCAAGTTCTTTATTGTGTGGAGCAGATTTAAATTTAATTATGTATGATGTTTATCAAAGCCTGGGCTTGATAAATAGGGACATGTGAGGTGGCTGCACTGATGGAAATCTTTCCTGCAGAAATGGTTTTCTCTACAATATATCTACATTTATCAACTAGATTTCCTAAATGCCCTAGATCAATCTTTTAAAGTTTTGTGCTTAATGCTATTAAATCAATATGTTTTAATGAGTTTGAAAACTTTTTGTACTCAATATAGTAAGCATTGCATCTGAAATCTCATGTAATGATACCATTTCAAAGGCATTTTGCAATATTGTCATAGTCTAGATGCTTGCTTCATTTTTTCATAGTGTTCAATCAAAGAGAAAACTTACAAACAATAGATGAGCAATTCTCAGACTTGGGGTGCATAAGAATTATGAGGGTGCCTGATAAGTAAGCAGTTTCTTCTCTTATCACTACTTCTACCTACTAAATCAGAATTGTGGGAGTGGAGTTCAAGGACCTGTATTTTAAGCACCAAATGTCTTCTTAGCTTTAGAATTAGTGTTTCTGCCTGACCACAAAGAAGGTCAGGCAGATAATGTCCCTAAAATTGGGCAAGAAATGAAGCTGCTTATTAAAATTTTGGGGAAGGCTTGCAGTCGTTTTCTTGCAGATTCACCAGGATTTTCCACTTTGGTTTATAAATGAGGAAAGTGAGGATTCTAGAGCACAGTGAGTTAATGCATAGCATAAGCATTCCTTATGCTACTACCATTATTCTTAACCTATGTGCTACTAGAGATATCATTTTCACAATCGTACAACTATTCTTTTTCTCTAGTCAGTAAATGTCCCTGGGATGATGACTAAGTCTTATTTGTTTTGACATCCCTAGTGTCTTGCAAACTGCCTGGCATATTAGAGGCATTTTGTTAATAGATCCATGAATGCATTCATGTATTCATGTATTCATTCATGTATTCATGTATTCATTCATTCATTCATTCATTCCACAAATATCTGTTGAGCTCCTACCATGAATCAGACACTGTCCCAGGTGCTGCAAATACAGTAGTGAATGACACAACCAACTGAACAAACAAAATCCTCATCTCCAAGGGCTGTTCTTTAAAGTAAAATGCGATCATAATACTGTCTTTGTCTCTCTGAGGATGGGAGGATTAAGAAGCTGATGTTTACTAAATGACTCAAAACTTTTTGGAGAAAAAAATTAAAAAGACAACACAGAGAAAACTATTGTACAATCCTGAAAGAAAGGACCCAATATTATTGGATTGCATGGTTCTTTTAGTCTTTTCTTTTAAATAAGTTTGCCCATGATGTGAACAATTTAGAATATCTCTTCTGATACCAGCAAATGAGCTTGGATTATATGAAGTTGATGAAGCATTATGCCAACAATTCACTGAGCACATGCCATTTGATATTACACTTTCTGCTGGCAGCATTCTCTCAGGGGGTACTGCAAACCTTACCTGACCTCCCGCTCTTCATGGGTCAGACCCAGGCCGAACATATGATGGATGTCATAGCAGGAGTGGCTGTCTTCCAGCAACCTAGGATGCGGTCAGGACAGGAACCACACTTCAGTTCATGGCATGCAACAAATCAGTGTTCTTCCCTTATATCCTGATGCAGACCCAAGAAGTCAGACTTACCCCACTTTCTGAAATCTCTTTTCCAAGTTGTCCCAAACATACCTAATTTTCTGCACTTGGATACATCGTAGCTGCAATGACAAATGTGATAGGAAATATGTCATTCACAAAGTCAAGCTTATCAGGGAAGGGAAAGCTTGTTTAATGAAGGTCCTCACATAGCCCTACCTTTTGTTAATAGATAGCTATAATTCCCAATCCAGCCATGGGGTATTCAAACTTTCATCTAATAAACACTTACATTACTTCTTTTGGCAAAAACTTGCCATAACAATGCAGTCTTAAAATCACTTACTTTTAATTCTGGTTTCAATATGGCATGGTTTATGACAGAGTGGCGATCAGCTACAAGGGGCTCTTCCGGGTTCTTGCTTATAGGAAACTTCAGTGTGGATAAGTAGAGGCAGATCACTTTCTTCCTGATATATCTTTGAAATTCATCCTAGATATGACAATCCAGCCTGTGAAATTCTCAACTGTTATTCAGTAAGGCACTCAATCAACCAAATCCCTGACAAGTGCCAGACCAGTGTTTCCCAAAGTTTGGACCACAGACAAGAGCATCAACATTATCTTGGAAGTTGCTAGAAATGCAAATTTTCAGTCGCACCCAAAACCTACTGAATCAAAACTTCTGGTGTTAAGGCGAACATTCTGTGTTTTAAAGAGCCCTCCAGGTGATTCTGACTTGCACTAAAATTTGAGAACCACTGTGCTGGAGAATAAAGAGAAAAATAGACTTTTCAAGAAAACTTTCTATTTAGAAAATAGTTTCTGGCTACCTCAAAATCACATCTACATGTTTAAATGTCTAGTTTCCCTCAGAATACATACTTTTGAAAGATTGAATGATCATTCCCTTGTTATGTTTCTAAGAGCTGTAACACTGGCAGCCACTGTTCATGTAATTGCTAAGAGCATTGCCAACTATCCTGACATGGTAGAAATTTCCCCAGTCTGACATGCAAGAAATGGCCTTCATTCCTGGGTTAAAATAAGAGATATCAAAGAGATTGCAAAGGTGGTTTTGCCATCTCCTATTTTGGGACAGGAAAATTCTTTAAATGAAGAAAGCTCTCCCCCCTGAAGTGCTAGCCAGTCATTGGTTGTGCCACAAATGCAACACAATAGGGTACCCACAGTTGTCCTTAGCAGAACAGTATCTGCTTCTTGCAAGGGGCACGGGATGCAAGTGGCCCACACTCTCCACTGGGGCCTCCAGTACAACACCAGCATAAGGACCCCACACGTCAGCACCGATGCTACAAGGCAGATGGCTCTGCGAAGACTCTGGGTCTGGTAACCAAACACCTCCTGCAGAGAAATAAAAGATCACTCTATCTTTATTTTTTCACATAAACATATCATTTTGTTCCTAGAAACAGACTTTAGATGTGGGGGTGTTGATGGGGAGAGAAATCTGGCTTTGGCTGGTTGAATTAGATTGATTGCTTACAGCTGTAAGCTGATAGAGTAAAAAAAAAGGGGGGGGGGCTCATTTTACTACCCTGGCATAAGGAACTAAGACATTAGACAGGAAAAGCAAGGAAGGGTCAGAATTATTTGGTTCTATATACATACTCTTAAGAGTCACCACATAATTTTATAAAATATTTCATGCTCTCTACCAGTTCTATTTACATTAAGTATAAGTTTTTTAAAAAGTATTAATATCAATTTACTAGAGGAAGATGATAAAATAATGACAGAATATGATCCACACTTAATTCAAATTCATTCAAATTCAGCTTTGTTTAATGATAACAGGATTGAAAAGAATTGAAAGTATTAACTCTAGTACTTTCTGAACCAGTAGGATGATATAAATTAAGAGATTATTTGTGACATGAAAGACTTTCAAAAGACAGCTTAAAGGTATTCACTCAAAGCATAACTTGATGAAATAGTTCTACATTTAGTAATAGGTTAGTTAATATTTGTTTATTAATTGAATAAAGACTTAAGATGCAATTTTAGGGGAAAACAAGTAGCCCAAAATAATATATTTGTTTGTTTAAAGCCAATTTATAGTTTCCATCTTCTATAATGAAGATTCACAGTACTGTATAGTTTTTTAAATTTTATTTCTAAAACTAGATTTTTCAGACAATAAAATGGTGGTAACCTGGGGATTGATGGGTGGGGAATAAGAGTGATGGTGTCTAAAGGTACAAATCTATAATGAGTACAACAATAGCCATAGAGATTTAATGAACATAGACAATAATATTGTACTATAAGTATGTAATGTGATAAGTATTACATCAGCAACCATACTACAGTATATAAGTATACTAGAGGCCCGGTGCACAAATTTGTGCACCAGTGGGGTCCCTCGGCCTGGCCTGTGGGATTGCGTCGAAATGAAACCAGCTCTCCGACATCCCCTGAGGGGTCCCAGATTGCAAGAGGGTGCAGGCCAGGCAGAGGGACCCCACCAGTGCACAATCGGGCTGGGGAGGGATGTGGGAGGTGGCCAGCCAGGGAGGTATGGCAGGAGGGCTCCAGGGCGTGTCTGGCCGGTCTTGCTCAGTCCCGATTGGCCAGACCCCAGCAGCCAGCTAGCCTACTGTTTGGAGCATCTGCCCCCTGGTGGTCCGTGCACGTCATAGCGAGCAGTTGAGCAGCCTTAGCACATCATTAACATGTTACACTTTGCTTGGTGAACAGACGACTGGACAACTGGACACTTAGCATATTAGGCTTTTATTATATAAGATTAAAGAAACATGCTACCTTAAATTTATACAATATTACCTGTCAAATTTTTCCAATAAAGCAGATTTTTAGTGTATTTGGAAGAGCCTGAGGGATGCTGATTATGAATGACATTGTTGCTATACTATGATTTTAGGTTCTGCTATTATTTGTGTGTGTGTTTTTCTATGACTCTGAACTCCTATGTCCAGATCATAGAGCTGTAATGTCAAGGAGGTAAGTTTTCACTGAGTTTCTGAAGCACTTTCAAATAATAGGATCTTCTGAATTTTATACCAGTTTAGATTATGTTATAATAAATCTCTTGGCTGTATTCTTTGGAAAAGTTTTCATCTTCAATATGGTTATTTTCATTAAGCTTTTCTAATAAGTCTGTGGTAGATGAAGATTTTAATAACAAGCGTTGAAAGCAATCCTTAAACATAGTGGAGAGGTCACAGGCTTAAGAAACAAAAATGTAAACTTAAGTCACCTGCCTGCCAGTTATCAGTTATGTGAACTTAGGTAAATCCTTTCACCTCTAGGGAATCCCAATTTACTCCTATACAAAAAAAAAAAAAGTAGAAATATGTGCCTTACAGGGTACTTATGCTCAAATGAGATAATGTCTCCTCAAGTGCTCTGCAAAGTAATTACAATTTTAAGTTCCTTTCCACTGTTCCTCAGCACTATCACCCACCTGAGGAAAGATGTTCATTAAATTTAGTGATGCAGCCACTGTATTTTGAGATTATTCACACTAAGGTTTAAATGTTACTTAGAAGCATGTGTTCATTCTGCTTTTAAGCATATTTTCAGTTGGTCTCCTTTCTCCCTAAACTTCCTTCTGATTCTATAAACCTGTTTTGGTTTTATTTGTGAATTTACTTATTTATAGTTTTATTAGTTTTATCAAATAAAATGTATGTGCCAGTTCACATATTATGTCATAAATAATTGAAAGTATTAATAACTGTACCAGTAGGAAGATATAAATTAAGAGATTATTTGTGGACATGAAAAACTTTCAAAAGACAGCTTAAAGGTATCACTTATTTTACTAAGTGATATAGAGGGGTTTATTGCCAAAGCCCCCAAGTGTGTGCAAAATAGATGAAGAAGAGTTAGAAATTTTAGTCCAGCTTATAGTAAAAATGACATTTGTAAATGACTTTTCCCCTTTCTGTTTATGTACCCACATCAATGACATTGGTAATCACAATTCTGATTCCTTTCCATTCTTTTTTATACAACAACTTTTTATTTTAAAAAAGGAACTCATAATGCTGGCAAGGCTGCAATGAAAACACTACAGCTACATACTGCTAATAAGCTTATAAATTAGAATAATTATTTAGGAAAAGAAAGGTGACAAGAATTATATCAAATTGTATCAAGAATTATAAGGATGTTTCTATTCCTTGAACCCGTGATTCCATACCCTAAGAAAACACACCCTAAAAAGTACACCTTAAGAAAATATGCATGAAGTAGAAATTTGTGTATATAAGATGTTTGGTGCAGAATTATCTGCAACAACAAAAGTTATTGAAAGAACAAAATGATAACTAATGATGTAGTAAGATGTGAAACATCAAAACAATGGACTATTGAGGAGCCATTAAAAACAAAATGCATAAAGTCAAGGTAAAACAATGGGACATTCTGTGATATAATGTTAAGTGAAGAAAATAAAAAAGAACAGGTTGAATAGATGGAAAACAAAGAACAATATTATGAACTTTAACTCAATTATATCAGTAATTACATTAAATGTAAATGACTTTAATTGTATGATTGAAAGCAAAGATTGTCAGGCTAAAATAATAAAAGAAGAACCACTATGTGCTGTTTACAAGATACATATCCTATCTAATAAAAGAGAAACATGGTAATTAGCGTATGACCGCTACCCTTCCCATTGGCTAATCAGGGCGATATGCAAATTAACTGCCAGCCAAGATGGCGGCTGGCAGCCAGGCAGCTTAAAGCGAACATGAGGCTTGCTTGCTTCAATGACAGAGGACTCCAACGTTCCCCGCCTGCCGCTGCCGGCCTCTGAGCTGCAACTCAAAGCAACTATGTTACAAATATAGAAGCTAAACAAAACCTCAGAAACCTGCTTTAGTCAGCCAGGCTTCAGCCAGCAGGATCGCAACATTGTTTCAAATACAGAAGGTAAACAAAGGCCAGAAACCTGCTTTCAGTAGCGGAGGCCTAAGAGCTGGAGCCAAGCCTCAGAGATAAAGCTGGCCCAGAATAAAAAAGAAAAAGAAAAAAAGTAGCGGTTGGGAGCTTCAGTCACCCGCCAGCCTGAAAACAGCCCTCAGCCCCTCACCCAGACTGGCCAGGCACCCCAGTGGGAACCCCCACCCTGAAGGGTGTGTGACCAGCTGCAAACAGCCATCAGCCCCTCACCCAGGCTGGCCAGGCACCCCAGTGAGGACCCCCACCCTGATCCAGGACACCCTTCAGGGCAAACCAGCGGGTCCCCACCCGTGAACCAGGCCTCTATCCTATATATTAAAAGGGTAATATGCCTCCTGGCACTGGGATCAGCGTGACAGGGGGCAGCCCCCAAACCCCCTGATCTCCCTGAGGCTCTGTGTGTGACAGGGGGCGGGCCACAACCTCCCTATCACCCTGCTCTGTTCATGACAGGGGAAGGCACCCCAACCCACTGATCAGCCCTGCTCTGTGCCTGATAGGGGGGAGCTCCCCAACCCCCTGATCGCCCTGTGGCTCTTTGTGTGACAGGGTGAGGCACCCCAACCCCCACCACGGGCCCTGCTCTGTGTGTGACAGGGTAGAGCCATAACCTCCCCATCGGCCCTGCCCTGAGTGTGACAGTGGCAGTGCCCCAACGCCCTGATCTGCCCTGCTCTGTGTGTGACAGGGGGCGGTGCCCCAACTCCCCTATCGGCCCTACTCTGTGAGTGACGGGGGGAGCTCCCCAACCCCCTGATTGACCCTGCTCTGTGCATGACAGGGTACAGAGCCCCAACCTCCCTGATGGGCCCTGCTCTGTAAGTGACAGAGGGGAGCTCCCCAACCACCTGATTGGCCCTGCTCTGTGCATGACAGGGGGTGGCACCGCAACCTGCCCATCGACCCTGCCTTGAGTGTGACGGGGCAGTGCCCCAACCCCCCAATTGGCCCTACCCTGAGCATGACTGAGGGTGGCATCACAACCTCCCGATCCGCCCTGCTCTGTGCATGACAGGGGTGGTGCCCCAACTCCCCAATCAGCCCTGCTCTGAGCCCGACCAGGGGCTGCACCTAGGGATTGGGCCTGCCCTCTGCTACCAGGGAGCAGGCCTAAGCCAACAGGTCATTATCTCCTGAGGGGTCCCAGACTGCGAGAGGACACAGGCCGGGCTGAGGGACCCCGTCTTCCCCCCGAGTGCACAAATTTTTGTGCACCGGGCCTCTAGTTTTAAATATAAAGAAGCAGAAATTAATTATTTAAAAGAAGCAGATAGCGTAAAAGGAGGAAAAAAGGGGAAATGTGCCATGCAAAGACTATCAAAAGAAAATTGGTACAGCTATATTCATATCAGATAAAATTGACTTTAGGGAAAGAAATATTATGGGAAAAAGGACATTTCATAAGCTAA